AGATGAGCTGTAATATCCAGATGACGACGGCTAAATACATTGTCTGAATATCCGTATTAATTAAAATGCTTCATGGAAGCCGCCCAATCGCATGTAAATTTAAGTGTCAATTCCGGAAGAGTGGGATGTCTTCACTTCAATCATTTTTTATGATTAATTTTTTATCTTTATGTATATGATGAGTGAAAAGTATTTTTTTAAGACATTAGCTTCTAATTTGCCGATCCCAAAACCAAAAACACTTAGTAAGTCCTATAAATCATCTAATAATTCGTTCGCATTTTTTTAATATCAAACAGAAAGAAATTTGAACAATAATTGCTTTGACACCGTGGAAATTGCTAAGAGAATTAATATGATTCCTTTGGATGCTAGAAAAATTATATGTCTTCGATCAAACGTTGATGATATTTGAAATTGACATTAATGATTGACTCGTGACTCGCTCTACGGGCATATATTTTGTGTGCGTTGTGTATGAAGTGTCTCATGTAGCGGTTTGTATGATATTTTCACAAGTCAGCACCAGACATTATATTGAGATATTTTCAGCCAGATGAATCAGCTCAGCCAGATATCGTCAGGAGCTGGAATTGAGTGAAAACAATAAAAGTGATTGTTATAGTGATTGTAGCAATATAAGTGTAATTATAGCCATAACAATCACTTCTATTGTTTTCCCTCAATTTCAGCTCGTGACGATATCTGGCTGAGCTGATTCATCTGGCTAAAATATCTCAGAATAATGCCTGGTCACAAAGGATGGAAGCAAACTAATTTCTTTGTTCCAACGTGAGCACCACTAACAATTTTTCTCCGAACCAAAAATACACGAGTTTGTATCGTTCACACACAGTTGACAAGATGTGATGTTATGTCAACTGCTTAGTAAATTAGTACCAAAAACATTGATAGAGGGCCAATCCCTTGAACAAAGTTCAGTACTGATTTCGAATAGGAAAGTGACATCGCTTCCACAGTATGCCTGGTCAGCACTGACTCGAGTCAGTCATAACTTATGACTCATAAGCCCCTTGGGTAACTTTCATACAACATTTAGTTTTGAACAGTCAATAGTTTTCAGCTCCCTAGGAACCCTCGTCATCACTTATGGCGCTAATGCATACTAATTCACTTGCATACAAAACAGGGCTGTTATCGGCACCTGAGAAGTGCAGCACCCGACGAAGTTGGTGCGCTCTTTTTCAGGTGCCGCACCTCATTCCATGTAAATCTCAAGTGCCGCACTTGAATAATTTTTTTATTGTTTTAACATAAAAATATTGTAAAATAATTTTTAGAAAAAATATTTAGAATAATTTTTATGTTAAACACTGACATTTCTAATGTTGTGAATTTAACAACAATGCATTCAAAGAATTTTGTGAATTACCCAATACTGTAATTGTGAATATTTCAGTGAATGTTGCGTGCTACATTGTATGAAAGTTCACAATGAGAACGTTTGTTGGACGATTCACAAAATTTGTTGACATAAAGATATTTTGAAGCGAATCGCTTTACTTTGTGATATCAATTTAATATTATTATTATTAAGTTACTTACAATATGAGCGAGTATTAGTTCATATTCATCGGAACTCTTTTTACTTGTGACATCATACGAAGATCTTTGAACACTTTTACATTGGCAGTTCCCAAAAATGTCTGAAACGAGCACAACGATAATTATAGTTCCCAAACGAGGCATACTGAAACTGGCGAAAGAACAAAACAACTGAATCAAAACTCTTTCATTCATGTTGCTATATGTTCAATCGAAATTCGTATGTTCCATTAAACGAATAATTATAATTTAGATAAGAAAACAAATAGGAAACAAATTTGAAATTGAAACATGAGAAAAATGTTCTTGAAATTTTAATTTTTTTTCGTTACGATAAGATTATATCATGAAATAAAATGAAACTATTATCATTTTAAATGTGCTTGTTATCAATTATCACTATTATCATTTTAAAATGAAACTATTATCATTTTAATCGGGTAGGAATATCAAAAGCAAGCACTCAAAAAAACTTACTCCTAGCGCCACCAACCTATAAGTTGTGATTTTTCGCACATTCCACACTTCTAAATTTCAGGGAAAAAATGAAAGTAAAGCACAAAGAACAACCAATAATGAATCAAAAATATAAAAATGTAAAAATTAAGAAAAAAGTCACAGTAAAATGATGATTAATAAAAAAAGCAAAATTACTTTTCGCATGTTTAATGTTTATAGTTGAAACACAAGCACCTAATTGCCGGTTTTACAAATGTCAAAAAATAGTTGTCACATATATACAATCTGTCTGAAGTTGGCTCTCACAATACACAACTTTATTGAGTGAATGCTTTTGATATTTCGACTTGTTAAAACGATGCATTCACGTTTTTTATTGCTGATTAATATTTTTTTATGAATAAAACATTTTTTTAAAAGATTGGCAATCATAATATTCATTAAATTAACCACTAGAAACATATTTGTGGATTCATTTCGTTTTGATATTAGAATAGTAATCGATACGAAAGTAGATGGCGGTAGGATGTAAAAATCTTTTTGCAAAAGTGACATTTCAGTACAAAATACGTTTTGATATTCCTACCCGTTTTAATTATGCAGTGGAAATGGGTGGTAACATAATAGCGTAGATTTTTTGTTTTCAAAAAGACTTTGATAAATGTTTCCATGTCTGATCAAATGTATGTCTAATCAGCACATGATATTTTGTGGTTTTAAAAATACTATTTGTGTAGTACTGTTTTTTTAATGTTCCAGACTTTTGAGCATAGACATAACACAAGAAATAAAACCTTAACCTATTCATGTACATCAGTATAGTTTCCAGAGTATTGCTCAGCGCTGCTGCCATCCAGAGCATATTTAAATATCTTATTGCTGAGAATGCGTCGTCCGTCGCATGCGAAGGTACGTAGGAGTTTATACATAACAGCGAACAACAATACATGCATTGTTCTCTATTCAATCGTTTGAATGTTTTGAGTCACATAATCGTGAAGAGAACAATGGATTCATTCTCGTTCGCTGTGATGTATAAACTGCTACGTACGTTCGCATGCGACGGACGACGCATTCTCAGCAAGATATTTTAATATGCTGTGGATGGCAGCAGCGCTGAGCAATACTCTGATAATTTCTCCATCAAATGAAAAAAAAAACCATTTGTTTATTGCATAACCATGTTCATACAGATTGATAATAATAGAACATTGTTGTAAGAAACAATGCAAATACACATTGTGCATGATTTATGATCATGGCAATAGCACTATTGCAAAGAGTTTCAAAGTCTTCATATTCCTTGGGTAAAATATCCGCGTACAGTTCATAGAACTTATCCAATGGACAAATTGTACCGCAATTGGGAATCTCTAATGGCGGCGGAACATTTTCCGTTGGCGTCCTACGATAGAACACTTGAACAAAGTGGCTGCCATTTCCTTTGTATAATTCAAAATAAAGACTAGACGCATATACTGGTACTTGTAACTAAAAGCAAGATGAAAACAAGATGAATTAAATGGAAAATTATGAAAAAATCAACCGAATTTACTTCGTTTAGATTGAGTGTACGTAGCATGTTTAAAATCGAAAAATCATGTCCTGAAAAAATCCAAACTGAACGATCTGGTTGAAGTAGTGATAGTGATTTATTTTTAAATCGATCCAATATTTCCTTAAGCAAAAAACCTGCCCCAAACTTCTGCATTTCCTTTGTTTTGGTGAGAGCTTGAAAGTGAATATCGAGTATTTGCTGCATTGTATCATTTGTAAAATGAGAGATATAACGGGTCCAAATTGGTAGTCTAGTGGAAATTATGAGAGAAATAATAAACAGATCAATGTGAATATTTTTATAATGGTTTGATTCCAGTCGGTATTCAATCTCCAAAATAAAAAAAATGCTCACTCAAGCCCCTTTTCTTTCTCCATTTCAAGTATTTGAAACAATAACGGCATACTTATATTTCCGGCGTGAGCCTCTAGGTACTTGATAAAGTCAACATGTTTTTCCGATTGATATTTGAATTCTGGCGAATCACAAAATTTGTTGTACAGTTGCTCAAATCGAGGGCAAAAGAAAGGACTGCCGGTGAGGTAATCTTTTGTTAAATCTCTTGTGTGAATCGGAATCGGTTGCCAATTTAATTCATCGTTCCAAATTGCATCTCCAGATGGAGGAAACATGCCCGCGGCAAGTGACTCTGCGCTCATTAATGCTCTATCCATATTTGTACTATAAATATAAACCTTCTTGGATGAATAATGTGGTCCGATGAGCTTTTGGTATCTTTGTCTTAAATATTTTCCTAAATCAAATAGTTGCTTTTTCCCAACCTAAAGAAACATTTTAAACGCAACTTTACATTATAAAAAATATCGTACCCATGTAGGTGGAGAGAAATGGAATAATTGTAAAATTTACTGACACACTTCGATAAATAATCCATTTTCACATACGATCGTCAGTGTAACGCTGTTTTACTTACTTTGGTGAGTTCTCCAAATCCACCAGGCCAATAGCTCTCATTAGCATACGGATCTATCATTAAAATAACAAAAATATATACATTTTTAGTACATTCCAAAACCTCTTCCAGAGATTCATTAACAAAATATATTATATTAACCATTAGGGTAAGCCTTGAGGACATTTCGTTCCCCATGTCTATGAATCTGTTATTCAAAAAAAGAAAAATGTTAATCAAATACCAATTCCATATTTAATCTTACTTACAATTTGGGCAAATATTAGTTCATATTTAACGGATTGATTTTCACTTGTGACTTCCGACAAATTTTCTGCAACATTTTTGCATTGGCACAATTCAAAAATGTTTGCACCGAGCAAAACGATAATAATAGTTCTCAGATGAAGCATTCTAACCAGTATAAAGACAAAAGACAACTAAATTATAAAGCTGGCGTTCACGTTATTATATGTGCAATCATTAAATTATTTAAGTATATCTCAAAACGTAATGATAATAATTTAGATAGGATTCTTGCAATTTACACAGCTGTAACTCAATCAGAAATATTCTTTTTCGATCATTATAATGTGAGATTTGTCTATTCTCATTGGCTCTTTTGCCCAAAATTGAACTTAAATTATTTACCAATTTCGCACGACATTAAAATAGATATAAAACGGTGACCTTCATTTTCAAATGATAAGAATTCATTTAAAGCGGCGTTTTCTCCTTGCAAATTCATTGACTCTGCTATATATTACCTGTACAAATTTTACTAATGTTATATTTTAATATGATTGGTATACAAAGAGTGATCAAAGAGAATTCGACTTTTTTATGCTTTTTATCGTCGTTCGTGAAAATGACAAAAAAAAAAATAAAATGTCTTATATCAGTAAGATAAACTTTTCCGCACTATGATCAACAACATGCATTTATTGTCTTATCTTATTATTTATCTTTTGCGATACAAATAATTTTTAATACACTTTTCAATGCCTGTATGTACAGTGTATGATATCAAAATGTCGTGAAACTTTAAACAGGGTATTTTTTCCCAAAAAGCATATATTCTGATTGTTTGAAGAAATGTCAATATAATTTAGGGGTACTTCCACACAACATTTTCATTTCCACACCACATCAAAAGAGGTAATGTCAAATGCCTTTATAAAGTCCCTAACGCAGTTTCTTATACTCTTTTACTCACACACAAACAAAACAAAATGTCAAAAAACAGCTGTTCGACCGAACCATTCATAACCATCTTCATGCTACTAGTAGATTCGGAATGAAAATAATGTTTGAAAATTCTATGATATTTCGAAAAATGAACTAATTATTTTGGAATTTTTTAATCTGTTTAGAATAAAATAAATTTTTAAACATTTATTGTACTAGCAATATTTTAATAAACATTCACTTATTATTTAATTTTCACAATTTCCATCAATTCACAAAATTTAATTCATAGCACTAGCATGAAGTTGGTTATATGTCAACCTTTATTCATTCGTATAAAAACATATTATGTTCACGCACACATAAATGTTGGGGAGTTTTGACAATTCCTCTTTTGTGTGTTTATTATTATTTTAATTTTTCATCTTCTCATAAAATCGCTTTATATTTTATTAGATTTATCATAATTTCTTGTTTTTTTTTGAGCAATGCGAGCGGCAGCAGCAAACTAAATACAGACATACTCGAGCAAGCATTCGTTTTTGTGCTTGCTTCCAGGTCCGTCGGGAGGTACCCTTAATATGCAATGAAATTTCTTCAAACTCTTGAAATGTTATTTTTGTGTGCATCCAACTAATATCATATACGGCTTTCTCGTGACAAAAAACCCTCAAATACATATTTTTGAGTGTTTAAGTACACATAAAGTAAGACTTTTGGAAGAAAAATTCAATTTTTCTCATTGGCATGACACTTTACTCTATCAACCAAAGCCGATAAAGACCGAATGGTTTTTATTCCTCGCGACCCCCAATCATCCTGTAAAGTAAGATTTTGAATAGTTTTTCTCGTGTTCGGTCAACGTGTTAACAAACGCTAGATTCGTGTTCCCTGGCCCCGAAAAAACCGAGTAAACATGTTTTACGTGGTGTTAATTTTTCGACCGAATCCAATACGTTACCTCACACACTAAGTGTCTGCGAAAAACTAAAATTATTCGTGCAATACGTGTGATTTACCCCAATAACTTCATTACACATCATTTTTTAAAAGATCTAACCGTTTGATGACAATATAATTGTTATTGATATTCAAAGTCAGGCGTTTTCAGAGAAAATTCTAATCGAAGAAAACTCATGAAAAAACAAAATGTATTTATTTCATATGATTGCATAATTCCGAATAATTAACGATGGAACAATGTTAATGCCCAATTCTATAATGCTAAAATTAATTAGGCAAATTTCTCCGAACAAAATATAAATAATTTGGATTGGAACGGAGAGCATATAATAATTTAATTATAAGAACATAGTTCTTTGTTACAGTGGCCAAATGCTGCATGGCAAAATCGTTATAAAAACAATAGAAAACAATATCCAACAGAAAAAGTCCAACATCCAAGGCTCGAAGAAGGAAAGCAAAACAATTATCTTTCTGGTTACTACGTTTTTTAAATTGAATACATTGTACACCACCAAATATGTCAATTTTGTTTTTATGACTTTCAATTTGAATATTTGTGTTCAATGTCCCGAAAAATAAATTAAGAAAACATTTTTTTTCTCTTGAGGAAATAAACAAACAAATAAAAACCTGCATATACCAAGCAGTGATATACCAAGCAAAAGTAAATAAGTCCAATGTATAGAGGTCAGCGTAATCAAATTGTTTTGAATGAATTTTTAAATGTTGACTGATTGATACAGTTATCATAGATTTAGCTATAAATGTGAATATACACAGTTGATACAGTGAAATTATTTCAGTAACTTGTTCATGTTAAAATAGTTCAGTTCAATAGAAATTGAATATGTTCGGCTGTAATTTTTTTGCAATTGCAGTGCTTGTTCTGGCTATATCACTTCAGCAAGGTTAGATAAAAAGCAAAAGAAAAACATTTTTTGTAAATTCGACGGTTGAAAGAAAAAAGTCAAATTGTGATGATTTAATTTTAGCATTGGCCATTAAATGTTGGAATTGTGCATCAAACGAAAAGGAATTCTGTAATGATCCTTTTGATCCAAGTAGCCTTACAGAAGCAGATAAGAACACTTTTTACGTTGATTGTCCACTAGGCCAATTTAATTCCACGGACACAAGTTCCGAACAAAGAGCTGTGTGTAAAAAGATGAAGAAAATGGGTGAGTCTATTCTAGAAAGTTTCAGCGGTATAGCAATGAGATTAGAGCATGAGTGTCAGATAATATCACTTTTCATATTTTGTGCTTGCTCTCACTTCTTCTAATTTTAATTTTATTTTCTGTGTTTTAGTTGACGATAAATATATCGTAACTCGGTCATGTGATTGGGAAAGTGTGAATTCAGTGAAAAACGAATGTTTAAATCAAACATCGCCACTTGTCACGACATTCTTTTGTGAAACTTGTATAATAGATGGATGCAATGGTGAAAGCATGAATTAATCTTAATTGTATGGCTTGAATCTTTTTACAAATAAAGTCGTTAATTAATCGGTTCTTTTTGAATTCAAAACCAAAAAAAAATTTCAGTTTATATATTTTGGATGGATATTTATCCGAGATATTTAATGGTTTGTTGATCTTTCTAATCTCAACATTCACATTTATACACGTAACATTTCAATTTTGCTCATTAAAAAGAAATAATCTTTATAGTGATGAATGTGTTATATAAATGATTTTTAGTACATCAAAGAGCAAATCCATTAAATTTTGTCAAATTCTATTAGAAATGAAAAATTTCATTGGTTTTTTTAAATTATTGCTCTTATCATTTTTCAGCTAATGTTTATCAAATCGGTGTAAAAAAGCTTTTCAGTCAAAACGTGACATTGGTTAACAACAATTTTTATATGTTTGCTAATCTTTAACGGTTCCATTGAAAAACTCTGAATTATATAAGATTGGAAGAAGAGTGTCAGGTTCTCAGTTTGATTTATTGTTAAACATCAACAATATAATATAATTGTATTCGTCTAAATTACAATTGTCTTGAATGTTGTAAATAAAAAAATTGTTGAAAGAGGAAATGTCAAATGCCCTTATAAAGTCCCTAACACAGTTTCTTACACCCTTTTACTCACACACAAACAAAACAAAATGTCAAAAAACAGCTGTTCGAGCGAACAATTCATAACCAACTTCATGCTACTTGTAGATTGGGAATGAAAATAATGTTTGAAATTTCTTTGATATTTCGAAAAAATGAACTAATTATTTTGGAAATTTTTAATATGTTTAGAATAAAATAAATTTTTAAACATTTTTTGTACTAACAATATTTTAATAAACATTCACTTATTATTTAATTTTCACAATTTCTATCAATTCACAAATTATGATCCTTAGCACTAGCATGAAGTTGGTAATATGTCAACCTTAAATCATTCATATAAAAACATATTGTGTTCACGCACACATAAATGTTGGGGACTTTTGACAATTCCACTTTGTTTGTATTTAACTGGTAAAAGAATATACATACATAAAATTGATAAGGAAAATGGAAGGCTTCAAATGAAAAGGTAGTTGAGTGCTGACACAGATTTATGGTCTGACAAAGGATATTGGCAAAGTGAATTAGGTGCAAAAAGATTCTGAACAAATCATGTTCGTTTTGGCGCAATAATTGACTTATATTTTGCTTTGATCTGCGATGAAATGACATCATCCGTTTTGAATTTAGAGCATTTACTTATGTTATCATAAGTGCGCCAAGCGCACTCTTTAGTAGTAGCCATTCAATACTCTGTCTTTACGGATCTAATTGATAAATGCTGGTTTGTTGCTTACAATGACCATTTTTTCTGGCATTCTAAAATATTCGTGTGTACATTTTCAGTTTTTGTTTGTATTTTTGCGAAGATAAGTATACGGATAATATGACTGAAATTACATACTTTGTGATTATTTTGCCAGTTTATGCTTGTTTATATTTGCAACTCGTATTGTGATCACGCACACAGAAGCTTATGAACGTTTGTTTGAGTAGTTTTACATTTTCGATCATATTCGAGGTGGCAATCACATTAAATGTGTAATACTTATCGCTTGAATGATAAGTTCGTGCTGCTATTGATTAAAAAAATTGTTGTTTTATAAGCCGAAAGATGAAGAATTTAACGTACGCCCTATTTGTGTTTTGTATACAATTTATTTATTGCTATGCCATCAGCAATAATGGCAATAATACATTAATTTTCGCACACACGGTAAAAACAAGTTCCATTAAATATCTAAATATTCATATTGGATTGAAAAAACTTAAAAAAAAAATCATAGTTGTGCCGACATGGTTATCGAAATTTACTTGCTCCATATCCAAATGATCCATATGCTGATGAGAGTCATTGGCAAGGTGGAATTGGTGCTTTGACAAACGTGAGTTTTAATAAAGATACTGTTGATGTTCCAGAGTTCGTATTTAATGTGTGAAAAATTATTGTAGTATGGCAAACGACAGCACTTTAAGTTGGGAAAATACTTACGTAAAAGATATCAATGTTTGTTGGAAGATGGAGTCTATTCGCCAAACAAAGTCTACGTTCAAGCAACGGTTGTGTAAACGGATGAATATTTTATCAAAAACCAATAAGTGAATATCTCAATCTCTTAGGATACCGATCGTGCCATAATGAGTGCGGAAGCATGCATGGCGGGAATGTTTCCACCGACTGCTAGTCAAAAATGGAAGAAAACATTAAATTGGCATCCCATTCCGGTGCATACAATTCCACGCAGAGAAGACCATCTGTTGGCTTCAGAAAAACGATGCGATCACTTTGACGATGTGATGCTTCAGTACATGAACACAACGGCATATACCGACTTGTTTACAAAACATAAAACGCTCATTTCGTATTTAGAGAGAAATTCTGGAATGAAATTATCAACAATAACGGAAATATATTTGCTTTACGATGCACTGTGGGTAGAAAAGATGGAAGGCAAACGGTTTGTTATCTCGCAATAACAACTAAATAGTTTTATTTTTTTCATTAATAATTATACTTTTAGTTTACCAGATTGGGCTGAAAATGTTATGAAATCGGGTGGGGATTTTGAATATCTTGCCATTTGTTATTTTAAAATCTACTCGGAGACAACGGAAATGAAGAAATTGAAATCGGGATTTTTATTAAAAGAGATTTTTGATCGGTTTACAAGCAAAATACAATCAAATTTATCGCCAGATCGTTCGCTCGTCATGTATTTTGCGCATGACATAACAATCACAAATATGCTTAGCAGCCTTGGGTTATATAAGGTATCAAGCTCTTTTTTTAAAGTCAATATCCACTTAATTTGTTAATCTGTATACAAACAATTCCGTAGTTACATCAACCAAAATATGCATCATGTATGTTCTTTCAACTGTATAGTTCCGATGAAATGCCTTATGTAAAAATATTCTATAGAAAATCGGGTAATGTAGTAAATATCAAGCCATTGAATATTCCAAATTGCGGTTCAAAATGTCCGTTGGAAAAACTATACGAATTATATCAACACATTTTACCAACACAACAATTTGATAAGGAATGCGCTCTTCGTGATGGTCACACTCTTCCACCAGGCGGCAACCCAGAGAATGCACCATATTGATATAAATTTTGGGAAATTTAACGGGTTCTAATATACTAACAAAGGTATTTGCGATGTATTTTATATTAATTTCAAAGCGTTTCATTTAATAAGGCGTTAGCCGTGTTGGTAAAATGTATAATGCATTTGAAGAAAATTTTAAAGATTTAAAATAAAATGCACAGAAAGAAAAAATGTGGTATTTTTAATTCAATTTTGGTAGATTTAATATAAAAT